ATTTTTTACTCATTTAAAACACAATAAAATTTAATATGCTCCCTTATTCTTTTATATATTTTAATATGTACAAGTCAGAATAAGCATGTTGCTTGAATTTTTACATAAATATTGTGTTACACTGAATGACAATGTAACATTTTTTCAACCAAATTTTGACATTTTATTCTCTAAAAACTTATTTGAAACCTTAAAAGTAGACACTTTACTTACATTTAATGTGCTTTCTATGGACATAAATCACTTTTGTAAATTTCTTTTGATACGGACATCTTGACGTCTTTGACCCATATGCAGTTGTGCAAATAATAACATTAAAGTCGTTTCATTGTTCTGAATATTTTTAAGTCAGTGCATTCCCGTTGTGAATCAGGTAGGAGACAAAGAAATACCCTCATTTTGCTGAAGGCTCGTCTGGAGCTCACAGGTGATTGATGTGTTGTGTGTATTTCAGACCCCCTCAAGCTACGACCTTGGATGCTTCCAACATAGACTCAGTGTTATACAAACTAAACACTACTGAAATGTATTCCCTAATCGATAATGGGCAGATGTTTATTATTGTCATGTGCTTATAGCTGCTTCTTTCTCTTATCCACAATGTTTTTGTATGCCACAGGGGTCGCAGTGGGAAAATTCGAGTTCTGTCCATGAAGATTGGTCTTCTCTCTCTTTGTAAGGGTCACCTGGAGGAGAAATACAAATGTAAGCTCTTTTTCATAACAAATATTGAACCAACAACAATAACACAGTATTGTGCTCTGTTTTACTAACATCATAACCGGAAGTGAGAATCAAACGATAATCGTATCATGAACATATCATGTTAATCCAGTCTGAAAAGACTATTTGGTGGCCAACTTGATTTTCAAGCTGATAACCCCATTAGAAAGAAAAAAACACACTCACACATTAATGTATATTCATTCATATACATATGTGACTGGGGTGTATTTGTAGCAATAGCCAAAAATACATTGTATGGGTCAAAATTATCGATTTTTCTTTTATGCCAAAAATCATTAGGATATTAAGTAAAGATCATGTTCCATGAAGATATTTTGTAAATTTCCTACCGTAAATATATTAAAACTTAATTTTTGATTAGTAATATGCATTGCTAAGAACATTTGAACTTAATTTCACCCTCAGATTCCAGATTTTCAAATAATTGTATCTCTTAGGTAGCCCACCACCACTAAAAATTTTTCCAAAAACCTGTGTCACAGTGTATTAACATCAAATATAGGTAGTATGAGGTCTAGGGCTAAACAGAGGTTCATTATTTGTGCTGGTTGAGGTTTTTGTTGTGTATTTGCTGTTAATTTGTCTGTATACTGAATATTTTGGTGTTTGTGCCCTGCAGCATTGTTAGATCACATGTACAAATCCCAGCCATATTCCTTTTAATTAATGTGTTTGTGAAGCGCCACACACCCCATGACGCTCTACTTAAAAGCTACTCTACTCTAAAAGCACAGTCATATGAAAGCAAAGACTGCACTCCCATGATGCACTTCTTCATGTAATTGGGCTTTTTGCTCTTTTAAGTTCTGACTCATCTCAGGAGTCATTAGTCCTCTGAGTGATCAAAACTTACAGTAGATGAATCCCTGTGCTGCTTAGTTTACAGGCTGCAGCAGCGATTGTTCTCCATGTCTGAGTTACCGTTGACAGACCAAAAATGACATACAGCGCTTGTTGAGATGGAAGACATGTTTTTTCCATTTTCGGTCAGCAGTTTGGGGTTCACTCGGTCTGGTCAGCACTTTGTAAAGCAGAGCTGAGTGACAGACAATCACAGACGCTTCGGTGCCGGGTTTGTTCGCTGACCTTGAGTTAACACAGCGCACAGTGAAATTGAGTCAGTGTGACTTCAGTTGTGTGTGTTGGAGTGAGAATAGAGTTTATTGAACTGCTGTGATGCTCTCAGGACAGAGGGCTGGAGTTCAGCGCTGTGTATGTGTGTGTGTGTGTAACAGCTCTGGCAGGGGTCTGCTCTTGCTCTGGTAATCAAGGTAATCTCTGTCCCTGAGCCAAGGTCAGAAAGAGAGAGATGGATGAATGATGGAAATTGACATTTATCATTAACTGAAGGACTTATAGTTTGCTTTACTCTGTAATCTGTTCATTTACATTACATTTTAAACCATATGTAGATTACTGAAGGGATTGCTTTAAATATTAAATGAAAAAGAAGCTGAATTATCTTTTTTTTTATTTATCCACATAAATGATGTATGCTGAGAAGCATTCAAGATGGGGTTGAACGCTCACATTTAAAAGAACAAAGACTGAACACATACTGTTATGAGCTGTGAAATAGCGGATATGATTTCATAGAACGACAGTATGTTTTATTCATACGGTTTAACAGAGAACTTTTAGGAAATCTTTGACAGATGAGACAAAAATAAACAATTTATACTTGAGAAATGGTAAGCAGATATAGCCTTTAGCATAATCAAAAAAAAAACTACAAATAATGTACTTTTCACATCATTCTGTGAAGGAATCCACATATGATCAGAAAAATGTCATTTTATACATTCTGTGGGATAAAAAGTTAAACTCGTTGAAAATGTACATCTATCTGTCTGCATCTATCTTTCTGTCTGTCTGTCTGTATCTACCTGACTGTCTGTCTGTCTGTATCTAGCTGACTGTCTGTCTGTCTGTATCTAGCTGTCTGTCTGTATCTACCTGACTGTCTGTCTGCATCTGTCTGACTGTCTGTATCTACCTGACTGTCTGTCTGTATCTATCTTTCTGTCTGTATCTGTCTAACTGTCTGTCTGTATCTACCTGACTGTCTGTCTGTATCCATCTGTCTGTCTGACTGTTTGTCTGTATCTAGCTGTCTGTCTGTATCTAGCTGACTGTCTGACTGTATATATCTGTCTGTATGTCTGTCTATACCTGTCTGTCTGACTGTATCTAGCTGACTCTGTCTGTATCTACCTGACTGTCTGTCTGTATCTGTCTGTATCTGTCTGTCTGACTGTCTGTCTGTATCTACCTGACTGTCTTTCTGTATATAGCTATCTGTCTGTCTGTCTGTCTGTATCTACCTGACTGTCTGTCTGTATCTAGCTGTCTGTCTGTCTGCATCTGTCTGTCTGACTGTCTGTATCTGCATGACTGTCTGTTTGTCTGTATATAGCTGACTGTCTGTCTGTGTCTGTCTGTATCTATTTTTCTTTCTATATCTGACTGTCTGTCTGTATGTATCTTTCTATCTGTCTGTGTGTATCTGTCTGACTGTCTGTCTGTATCTACCTGACTGTCTGTCTGTATCTATCTATCTGTCTGTCTGTATCTGTCTGTCTGACTGTCTGTCTGTATCTACCTGACTGTCTGTATCTGTCTGTCTGACTGACTATCTGTATCTAGCTGTCTGTCTGTCTGTATCTACCTGACTGTCTGTCTCTCTGTTATCTAGCTAGCTGTCTGTCTATCTTATGTCATCCTTCCATTCCATCCATTCAAGATGGATAGTTACCACACCTGTCTGTCTATCTATATCAGTCTATTTATCTGTCTGGCTATCTATCCATGAATCAGAGATAGATATTACTTTTTCTCAGTAAAGTTTCTCATCTCTCATGGGCCGCTCACACAAAACGTGATTCTGCATGCTACTGCTCTGCTTTTCCAGTGTTTTCTATGTGAACATGTGCTAGAAGGACATCTTTGGCCATTGTGCTCACGTATCACGTCTTTTGCAACATCTCTCAACGTTTTTCCAATGCTTTGTAAATGAAAAAAAAGTTTACATTTTAAACACTTTATAGACTATTTCCTGTGTTTGTTTGTGTCTCTCTCAGGTCTGTTTAATCAGGTGTCATCGGCGGGTGATATGTGTGATCAGAGGCAGTTGGGTCTTCTGCTGCATGATGCCATTCAGATCCCTCGACAGCTGGGCGAAGTGGCGGCCTTCGGCGGGAGCAACATCGAGCCCAGCGTCCGCAGCTGCTTCCGGCATGTGCGTGAACACTCACATTCACACACATCAGTGCATTATGATGATCACAGCATGTGTGTTTCACTCTGATATGTCTGTGTTTATGACTGATGTCCTATTCAGTGAAAGAACAGTGTGAATTATTGAAGCCGTCTGCTCGTGATATCCTCAGATTACCTCACAGAAGGCTGTGTGTGTTAATGGTGTTGTCAGCATGAGTGTTCATATTTTTTGTCCTCCAGTCATTTTGCTACTGTAAATCCTACAGCAGTTAGACTGGAGGCTATAAATACAGGCTTTAAAAGAAAGAGAAAGAGAGAGTGTCGCCCTGTTGAAGTGTTTGCTGCTTGATTGTTGTTTTTGAACATTCTTACAGGACATTCTGTTCATCCATCTGTCTTTCGGTCTATCTATCTATCTATCTATCTGTCTGTCTGTCTGTCTGTCTGTCTATCGTTCTATTGTTCTATCATTGTAAGTTCTGTCCATTTGTCTGTCTAATCTGTCTTTTCATCTATCAATCTGTCTGTCAGTTCTGAGTGGTTTGATTGCTCTCTGACACAGATTGTCAAGTCTGAAATGTTTTGAAGAGAGAGAGATTGTCATTTATAAATGTGTGGGGATGAAGAGGACAGATCCAATCAGAAGTGACTGACAGGAAGAGATGTCACCTCTGGAGAGAGGAGAAAAATACAAAAAACTGGAAATAAAGGCTAGGTGTGAGTTTCAGAGGAGATGGACACATTGCTGAGCAACATTGCAGATGAAAGCTGAGAGAGGAAATAAACGAATGATGAAAGAGTGGAGGGATGACAGACAGACAGACAGTCAGGACAGTGTCACACCTGAAGCCCTTTACAGTCCCTCAGCGCTGATGGATGGAATCACCCAAACGTTCAGTTTCTCTGGTTGCTCGTGGGTGTCTGATGGGAAATGTAAGAGCATAAAACACGTCAACAGGTCAGAGTTCAGAGCTGTAGGCTATGACATCACAGCCTCAACAAAGTGTAGATCTGCAGGCATCCATTGTCTCAGACGTGTTGTGTGTGTGTGTGTGTGTGTGTGTGTGTGTGTGTGTGTGTCTGAATGCTAAGTGACATTTAAAGACTCTTGCATGGGTACGTTCCACTGCTGACATCACTGCCAAGAATGTTGCTGCTGTACAACAGAAACATTCCTGCCAAAATCCCTTTTAACCATTCTTTCAACTTTGATTTAAAAACACTAAGCCCATTAACTTTCACATGATATGTGTAATAATACCAGGACGATTGTTTATAAGCAGAGAAGTACAGAATTACAGCAGTAATTATGTCTCGGTAACCTTTATCCACATGTAACAGTATTCCCACCGCTAAAATAATACATCTATTTATACAAAAATATGAATACAAGCTCTTTAACAAATACACAAACAAAACATTCTGCTTTTAAACCCTTCAGAATGTCTCGCCTCATTGACTTTATAAGTTATAAGTTATGAAGTTATAAGTGCATCACTGTAAACAGAGTTTACAGAGATCCTTCTGAGAATTCATAAATGGGCTGTGTGACAGATGAAATGTAATATGCTTACAGTTAGCTAATATTCCTAGCATTGCACTGGTTAAAAATCACCCGGTAACTGCAGGCAGTGTGACTGAATCACTGAATGCTCCGTCTTCACAGAAATATTTATGAGGCTGTTATATCTCTATAAATGCAGCCGTGCGATTGACAGTCATTTACGCTGGTCTGGTAGGAAATGCTCCGTCCGTCATCTTGATTTCAGACAGGCTGCATTGTTTATGAGTTATTCTCTCATGCTTTTTATGGGCTTTCTGAAATCCCTCCCTGATTGGCTGTTTGTGCTTGACTCTCTGTTCTCAGGTGACCAATAAGGTGGAGCTGGAGCCGAGGCAGTTTATTGATTGGATGAGGCTGGAGCCGCAGTCGATGGTTTGGCTTCCGGTCCTGCACAGAGTGGCGGCAGCAGAAACGGCCAAACACCAGGCCAAGTGCAATATCTGTAAAGAGTTCCCCATCGTGGGCTTCAGGTACACACTCACACACACACACACACACACACACTGAAGAGGTTGATTTGAAGATAATGACTGGTTGACTGTACATTATGAAGAACAGAAGAAAGTAAATGCGACAGATTGAAGTGTAGGGAATTCTGCCGCACTTTGAGAAGTGTTGCAATAGGCAAGGCGTGATATCAGGCAGATCTGTGAGAGATTTAAGACACACACACACACACACACACTGGGAGCAGAAAGGTTAGATTCACTCCCGAGGCCCAACATTCATCTAAATGTCAGCATCTGATAGCACTCTAAATAAGAGAGAGACTGATGAAAGAAATGGAGGACAGTCTATTCAGTCAGTTCTCTGATCGGCTCTGACTCTTTTAAAAGTTCGGCTGTAAACTAGGGCTGCCAGTGTTAACATGTTAATGTTTGAGATGAGTTCAGTGCGTTTACTGTCATTGAGCAGGAAAGAGACGATTCCAGGATTTCAGCTTCTGGAGGTTCAGCCATTTACTCCTTAATAAGATGTGATGATTTCTTGCATTGTGTATGAAAGGTCACAAGATCAAATCTTTCTCACCTGAGATATTTAAAATAATATTATTATTAATAATAATAAAATAGTTTTGGTTTGTCTGTAGATGTATATTAGTAATGTTGACAGAGTGAGTTATGTTTTAATTTGTAATTTCACTGAAAAGAAGGGCATTTAGGTGACACAACTCTGTATATATTTAATCCGACTTGCTTGATGTTTTTTTTAATGAATTTTATTCTTGGTCGACCGCATAGCGAGGTGAACAGTAATTTATTATTAATGGCTAATAGAATTATTCATAATTATTTAATGAGAATCAGTTGTTTATATTAATTAGTAAATTCATTAATTATTTGTATGTTTTTTAATATTTAGATATAAATAATAATAAGGTATAATAATAATGAAATTATTAATACAGTATATATAATTATACATTTATAATTATACACACAACAAATAGTTGGATTTTTATGGTTTGTAGTGGAAAATCAAGGATAATTTATTTATCATTATTTATCATTAAAAATAAATATAATAATATATTGTTTTTATTATACGGATAGCACTTTACAGTAAGGTCAATATATGTGTTACAGTATTTTTGAATCTTTGTTAATGTTAGCTAATAAAAATACAACTGTTCATTGTTTGTTCATGTTAGCTCAGGTCCATTAAATATTAACAGATACAAGTTTTGATTTTAATAATGTATTAGTAAATGTTGAGATTAACATTAAGATTAATAAATGCTGTATAAGTGCAGTTCATTATTAGTTCATGTTAACTAATGAACCATATTGTTACCAAATTAATAAATTATGGATTTACTTGATAACGAAAATGAATAACATGCCAAGACAATTATTTC